CGGGCCCTCCGCCTCAAATGGCCGTTGATCCAATGATCCTTGCCACTAGAAGCCCATGGAGGGCACTGGCGGTTGAGTACATTGCACGACTAGACCCGTCCGCCCCGCCAGAGGTGGACTCCCCCACGTGGCTAAAGGACCTGCTATTGGCTGATCCCCCATAGAACTCAGGGCCAGCCAATAGCAGAATTTTGGCCCACGATCTTGAAGAGTTGGCACAAGCCTCGCCTCCTCGATAAACCAGCACCGATCGCTGGGAAGAGGTGTACCGCCAACCCCTCTTCGGCAACCGCGGCTATGTAGTTCAGCGACTCCATGGAAGGGGTGGGTTAAACGAGGCTCCCTGCAGTATTGTCACCACATAGAAAGCCATTTAGAGCTGATTACAAAAGCAATACCGCTGGCCTGGTACAGGCTGCTCAAAATAGGGGCATACCTTTCAGGAGGGGGATTGGGTTGCCTTTCGGGACGACCCCAGCAGGATAGGAAGAATCCACATGGTGCGGCCTGCAGACGTGTTGGCTGAAAATTACACCATAGATGCAAGGAACCAGCTTCGGGGCTCCACCAACCCTTTCGAGTGGGGCGACAACTCGGCTGTATTCAGGATACGGGTATTAGGGGGTCCGGGAGGGTGAAGAGGCCACAACTTTTCAGCCACAGACACCCATCCACGAGTTCGCTATGGACCCCCACAATGACATTGGCGAGTCGTACGAAGACCCGGGGTATTCTCCGACAAACGGATCGACCTGCACTCCCTGTCAGTTAGGTCCACATATAAGATGCTCCGGCTAAGAGAGTGCTTCGTTATAGACAAATGGGTCAAGCACATGAACTCTGACAGAACCCTCTTGACACAGATTCTATGGTTCTCTGAGACCAAGGTGAGACCGTATAAAATTATATCCTTGCAGTGGCAGATTGCCCACTGCTGCCTGATAACAAATGTCTTGCTTGGAACAAAGAGAGGCGGGCTTGCATGGTGCCAAAGATGCACCGCAGCCTACCCCTTGCGAAAGCGAAACTAGACTATTGAACACATTTTCGTGCAGTGCCCTGTTGCATTGCTGACATGGCGTTGGTGGGATCACATCTGGCGAAAACTGGGACATGAGATGCCTTGGCCATGGTCCTGGCAGGCCATACTGGTAGGTCACTGCCCTGCAATTGCACAAGCATCCACACTTGAGAACAATTAGTACAGATTAGGAAGACGGACGATTCTGTGGGTGCTGTGGTGGCAGCGCTGTGTGCTGGCTCTGGAAGGGATCAGGGTAGAGGGCCCTGAACTGACAAGGCAGGGCAAAGAGCTCATCCAGCTGGAGCTAACACAAAGGTGGCGCAAGCTCAAAGCTCAGGTAGACATTTTTCAAACCAGCCAGGATATTAAGAGGGCAATTACGTCCTTCTGCACAGACTGGCTACGGGGACAGCGGGGGGGGATGGATAGCACAGGTGGAGTGGGCGGGGGACCGGGTTGCTTTGACAGGACAGGCCCCTCCAGAGATTACAATTTGGCTTTCAAGGGCTGGATTACTATAGAGCCTTCCTTCCCAATGAGACCCCCGTCTGAGTTCCCGGACCCATCCCCGCCTCACCCCCCTTCTCTGGCGGTACTCCCAAACTGACCAAGGTGTTACCTCCCAGTGACCCCCGTCTGAGTTCCCGGACCCATCCCCGCCTCACCCCCAAGGTGGGACACTAGCAAACATGCTCTCAATGTCAATCTCAACATCACCCTCCTTTCTTTTAACATCTGTGCAGTCAATCCCCTGGTTTCCAGGGCAATCAATGCTGGCAGATGCATGGTACTCTCAGACTGTCAATGTAGGAAGGAAGCTGGCTAGTGCAATGAATGATGGCTCCTGGGAGATTGAAGAGACAGAAACTTCTGGAAAAAGCTGCGCAGTTAACCCCCAGATCCACTGGGGTAGTCGATGCTGGAAGCCAAAGTCATATCTTGCTTTCAGATGTTCTTCAATGGATACAATGTTCAGGGACGCTGGACCCGTTTTCGAGCAGGTGCTGCTCCCCACCAATAGATGGAGCCTCCTCGGGAGTTAAAAAAAAAAAAAGGTGTACCAGTGGTCATTAACAAAAAGGCGATATGCACTGTGGGATGTCAACGAAGACCTTCATCTTGTGCGAGCACACTACCTACTTCCCCCATACCTAAGACCGCATTTCCCACGAACATAACGTGGTGAACAACCCATCAATGCCATCATCATGACCGTAGACAAACCTTGTTCCCGTCTAAATACAGTCATGGCATGAGGGCATTACCTTCACATTGTTCCCCTGGACAGGACAGCCCGTAATCACAAACATATATACAGGACCCTTTTCCAGGTCAGATACAGTCTCGGTGCCAGGCCGCTACGCTGGTGGAGAAAGGTATATTGCATCATGAAAGCCCATAATCAAAAAACATATAGAGACCCTTTTCCAATCCAGATACAGTCTCGATGCCGGGCCGTTACGCTCGGTGGAAAAATGTATATCGGGTTGTTGGTTCGAATCTTCAGTCGCATAGCACATTTCTCAAGCTCCGTGTGATGTACAACATCTTGCGCGGTTCGGTGGGCGCTTTTGTAGTAGACTGGAGGGGTGAGCGGGGAACACTCGCAGTGGAACCGTCCATCCAATATTTAGAAGTTTTATGTGAAGCTAAGGAATTGATTTATTTTTAAATTATTTATTATTATTATTATTATTATTATTATTATTTTAAATGTTTTCCTTGTTGTCCCTTTTATGTTTTGAAGATGGTACACTACGATTTTTGTTACACGTTGTCATTGAAATACGTTTTGAATCTTTGATTCCATTAATAAGAACTTGAGAAGATCATGAGGAACGGTGGTACTTTTCATAGTCAATATAGCATCAACTCACACGTTGATAGGAAGCAGAGTTTTCAACTTTGTCTTTTCCTTTTTTTTTTTTTTTTTTTTTTTTTTGATTATCATCAATTCCCCAGAGACCCAGACCCCAACCTCAAGTCCTTTTTTTTTTTTTTTTTTTTTTTAATTTTTACCTCAGGTCGATTTTCACCCCCTTCCTATCGACGCCTATCATCAATTCTGCAGACCCTACCTCAGGTCCAATAAATGGGGAAACCATAACCCACCGGCATCATGCAATCATTGTACTTTTTTGTGTACCGTGTTAATCTCAGTTTACTTTCATCTGTGTTGTACTCGTCTCCGTTACTCTCATTTGTCATATGCTGAGGTTGTTCACACATGAAAAGACGACCAATAAATGAATCAACGAACAGAAGGAGACTTCCAAAAAAAAAAAAAAAAAAAAAGAGGGAGAAAAAACTTGCTGAAGCCTCTCCTTCAGGTCTCCCTCCCTTCTCACAGAGAGAGCAACACACAACGAGGACACTGCCAAAGTGCGAGCAGGCATTATCCACCTTGCATTTTGAAAAACGCTCTTCTTTTTTTTATTATATATATTATTTTATTACTTAAAAAGAAAAACATATGCGGGAGGCTACTATTGGAATCCCCAATAGTAGGCCCCTAGTGATAGGGGGCTCCAATCTCATTGGGGGGGGAGAACTCTTGGGGACGATCAGCCTCTTATTCCTAGAGGCTAGAGAAACTTTTATCCGTTGAGCGACGACCCTTCCACTCGGTACCGTCGGATCACTAAGGCCGACTTTCGTCCCCGCTCGACGAGTCAGTCTTGCAGTCAACCTGCCTTTCGCCTTTACACTGAATTGCTGATAATGTCACCATGCAATTTGCAAAACGCTGATCGACAGTCGTAATAGACGATCATCATGAATGTACACAATCTTTCCGTCTAGATACAGTCATGTTGGGTTGGACAAAAGATATAATATTCAAGCATCCAGACGAGTTTATCCTGCCGTGACACAGAAGGGAGAGAAAAAAAAACGAGTGAAAAAAAAAAAGAAAAAAGGGACTCGATAAAACAAATATCAGAACCACAACATAGTATGTACATTGAACACACCTCGTGTCCGTTGGCCGAGCGGTACTGATCTGTTTCTATAACAAAACACAGTCATTCCATGTGAATGTGAGCTTGTTTGTGGCCGGATACAAACCATAAACTGTCCGACATGCAGTATGCTTCATGTCCACCGCTCAAGCCATGACATTACACGTCAAACAAGCAAAAACACACACACACACAGAGCAGACCATAAACCAGAGAGCGGACAGCTCTCCCGTCTTAAAGAAAAGAAAACTGAGTGCAATTGAAAGGCAAAGCAGAAAGAAAGACGAGCCGTAATTGTGACGATATTTGAATTCTGATGCGAGGAACTCAACTCCAAAGTGTGTGTGTGTGTGTTCCTAAAACAGGTCACGAGTTCGAATTCTGATGTGATCAGATCATCACAAGTAAAAGACGAGAAGACTTTCCACAAACTGCTGCGATAATTAAGTGCATAGAAGAGCATGCAGTGCACATATTTGACACGCTTTTTTTTTCTTTTTTTTTTGAAATATTTGACATGCTTTCAAGTGTGCCTCCACCGAACACAAAATTTACCATTATCATCCCTCAAACACCATCAAATAGTACACAGTACTACACACACACACACACACACACACACACACACACACACACACACACAATATGCATGTGCAGGGTTAAAAAAAAAACAAAAAAAAAAACGCAGATGCCGGTCCACATTTGTGGAGGGGGTATGGTGCTGTTCAATAGACATCAAAACAAGACGTGGAAGTTATGAAGGAATTCGGATGACGGGAGGCGATTAATCCTTTCGGTTTCCAAAATAGGAGCACGCAAAGGGGTCCTAAAGAAGACAGGAGGGACAAAGCGCTTTGTGGTGAGGCGAAAAAGGACTGAAGAAAGAAGTCGACACCCCACGAGCTTTGCGAAACTACCAAAAATATGGGAAAAAAAATATTTAAAAAAATTCAATTTGAGATTTTGCACACCATTCACCTTTTTCAACTTATTTGCAGGTTGTACCAACAGGTAAGATACTCTGGCAAAATTTATTTCTTGGTATTAAAAAAAAAAAAAAAAAAAAAAAAAAAAACAGACAAAATAAGCCCATGAAGAAGAACAATTTCTCACCGCAGCCACTTCTTTAAAACAGATACGACGACTAGTGCGATCACTTTCTCCTTCTCGCCGCTCCTGCCTGCCCCAAGCTCCGCTATTCAAAAGCTCTTTTTGGAGACCACAGTGCCCGCTGGGCCCGTCTTTCTACCATGTGGGTTCTCTCATCTACTTCTTCCGCCATCGTCTTCGCGCTAAGGGTGTTGCCCTCCGTTGACAAAATATATCCCCGAGCGAAGACCAGGGCGCACTCTAGTACCCAATCCACCGTACCACTAAGTCACAACAAGTTTGGAATAAGCAGAAGACTCGCACTGTTACAACCAGCCCACGTTCGCTCCTAGGGTGTCCGCTAGGCGCATTCATCGGGTTTCCACTAGCAGGCACTAGGAATGCACACTCCTCGTGTGACCGGTGACGGCAGTTGGCAGTCTCCATCCCACCAGCCGCACGTGAATACAAGCATTGCGCCAGATTCGTTGCATGCATCGAAGTGTGATATGTATGAACTCCCTTTTCCTTCCATAGGGTCCACATTCAACATCAACAAACGGGGGGATGCATCGACGATCACAGGCCAGCGATGAAGTATCAATTTGCATCACCTGCCCACCAACTTTTCGATGGGAAGAAGCTGAAATGCTTAGGACCACGCGAGACCCATCGGCTAGGTGGGAGAGGTCAGAAACACAAAGAGGAAACTTGTGTGTGTGAGATGAACGAGAAGCTTGCCTCGACCAGGTCGTCGGTTGCGCTGCCGTGACGGTGGAAATGCATGGCACATGGCAGCGGAGCAGCCCATACCTTCTCTCTCTCTCTCTCTCTCTCTCTCTCTCTCTCTCTCTCTCTCTCTCTCTCTCTCTCCTTTGCATCGCTGCGAAACAGCCCCACCTCCTGCCCCTTTTCATGCACCAACATCATGCCCCTCGTCCTGCCCTCCTATTGAGCTCCCCATCAACCTTACGCTCTTCTTTGCGCCGCCCTTCCCTAGACCTCCTGTGTTGCCTCGTCCTTCGTTTGTCTGGCAGGTGCCGTGCATTCCTGGTCACACCTAGGACTGCGGGACCCGATACCTACGCGGACACAGTCTTTGGCAAACCTCCTCTCCTCTCCTCTCCTCGATTTCACTTCTCCACCCTCAGCCGAGGCTTCCGGTCTGCCGTTTTCTCCCCTCGAGTTCATTTACCTCTGCTGCCCTGCCTGCATCCACACCACAACCTCTCTCTCTCTTTCCCGTCCCCTCTCCGATTTACCCAACCCCTGCCTTTTCTTTACAAGCCCTAATTACACAGACACATCGTGCGGCCAGAAAACGTACTTGTACATCCAAGGCTGTAGTGTGAACGTACATAAACGAAGCGCATGCTTCATGTTCGTGGACAGAATTACTCACACTGGTTCGTTAAGACGTGCGACCCAATTTCGAATACGAATTCCGCATGATGCCCACAGCCAAACCCATCGGCACGGATGCACTGTGCCCATGCGTAAGTCCATGTGCATGGCTATGGCCATGGTTTGCACCCCCGGAACCGCCTGCACAGGGTCCCCCGTTGCTCATAGCCGACGCTCCACCGACCCCTCCAATACCTTCTTTGGAACCAAGGTCCCTTTGGATATGCGGGACCAACATATTGTTCCGCGGCAGCCAGGAGACCATCACATCCTCGGTGACGCCGTGCAGCAAGAAATCTCCGCAATTTTTACTACAACCACGGTCGAACGGATTCAAGAAGCGACCATCTGGTCCCCGCAGGTACGTGTACCTGTGCTGGTTCGCCATCTCGTTCGTTGTGATGTTCCGCGCAATCTGAAGCATACGTACGACGAGCACAGCAAAAGCATAAAAGACGCTCAGTACAAGCATGCATCCGCGCCTACACAATACGTGCAAAAAACAACGGACTACAACCCCACTCACACACACCTAATCATCATCAACCGTCCCTCACCTTATGCAAGTTGTAGAACGACCAGAGAGCTCATTCACTGTGCTTAGTTAGACTACACGACATCAGCTCCTCCTCTGTTGGCATCAATGCACATCGAGGGTGCACATCACATACCACTTCTGTGCCGACCCTGTACCAATTTACCAGGCCAGGTCCATGCCTGGGTAACCGTACGAGTTGGATGTTCGGAGGCCAGAGGCAGGCAGTCCTTCCTTTTTATTTTTCAGAGGGCGAAAGCCTTGGGATATCATCACCAAACTGACTGTCCCCAGGTGATTCAGCAATTCAACTTATCTAGGTCGATCTGGATTTGAACATGGGTCTGTGTTTCAACAGGTCATCAGTGTACCAACTGAGATACGGCCGTTGGTGTCCTTCCCTTTTTCCATTTTCTTGTTATGTGTGTTTTTGCTGACGGAACGTTCACCATGCATGACGAGTTGAGCAGGAGGTTCCCGGGCAACCTGAGATATCAGATGAGCTAGGCATCTTGGGTGCAGAAGCCATTTCATTTAGTGACGGGAAGAAACGGTGGCGTTTACAGCCCAGCGCAGTAAACAAGGGATGTACCGTCTTCATCATGACAAGTTATTGATGGCATAGGGGAAGCTTGCCGGTGATCCTCTCAGGCAATTACCGTCTTCACCCGAATGGAACATCCAGTCATGGTAGCTGTATTTTGAGAGCAACGCCGAAGGGATGACCACCAGCCAAATCATACCAAAACCACATTAAACGACAACAAGGTAATAAAACCACATCTAAACCACCAGCACATTTCCCAGCTCCTTTGTTCGGCTGCGGCGGTTAACCCACTGCGTCGTTAGGGAATGGCCAAGCGGACAGAAAACGCTGGCGTCGCCAGGCAAAGCGCGTGCTTCGTCGCTTCAACAGGAGGCTTGGACGTATTGGTGATTTAACAACAATGGCAGCAGGCTCGGATGTACTGGTGATTTAACGACAATGGCAGGAGGCTCGGCCGTGCTGGTGATTTAACGACAGCGACCAACCATAGACAGCAAGAGCATCGATAAAAGCAATTGAGCCAAGAGTGCTCTCACCTGGAAGCCTTGCATCGTAGCCAGTGTTGCGACACTGCAGAGTACAAAGACATCGACCACCAAGAAGACTAACGCATCTGCATGAGAGAAGCTCACATGTCGAATCCAGGGACCTGCTGCCGATGGCGCTGAGTGATCCTGCCATAGCCCTGCACAGGAGACAAACACAGCAAGACAACGCGATCCAGTGAGGGCATGTCAAGACAAGAGTGGGAGCGAGAAGAGAATCGAAGCGTCTCAATTTGTGAGTCAAAATATAACTGCGACACCGGACAGGTCATCAGGGCATTAACTCCATTAACTCCAACACATGACAGGCCATCAGGAACGAAGAAATGGAAAACACGGCCGGTCAGTAATATGGACATAATTGCCGGTGTGGCCTGATAAGGGCACACTCTCAATCCTATTGCCGCCGGCACGAAAACATACATATTCCTCTGCATTGTCACACACCGACTATTTAACTGTCTCCATTGTCACACACCGACTATTCACTGAGGCCGCAACTAAAGACCACAGAAGCCCTGGTGAGAATATGCCGAAAAGTCACAAGTGTCGATTCCAGAGCGTGTGAGACAGGTGAACTCGAGGCTTCCAGGCCCAAGGAAAACGTTTTTGGGAGCCAGAATTGAATTCATCTCCAATTTTCCATCCTTTTTTTTTTTTTTTTTTTTAACCAAGTTACTGCGCTATATTCTTCTCTCAATTTCACCTTTCACTATCGACCTACCACTACTGCTCAGCCTATACAGGGGAGCCTGCAAGCATAGCTATCTCTGACAATTAAAGGGATGCATGTTAACACAGCTTCCGTACATCGATGATCAGGGTGCGTCGTCTTTGCAAGAAGACATCAAACATCAGGCAGGTACACAGTCGTGGGGAGAGAGAGAGAGAGAGAGAGAGAGAGAAAGAGAGAAAGAGAGAGAGAGAGAGAGAGAGAGAGAGAGAGATTCCGGAGCTTGTGGGACAGGTGCACAGAGATAGGACCCTGTGTAGCATCGTGTTCGGGTTCGGTCACGTCCGGGACCGAACGCGAACGAGCGCCGAAACTCTCCGAACGCGAACATAAAAATTAAAAGAAAAAAAAAAAGTTCTCCAAAAAATCTGCAAAAAATATATGTGTATGTGATGTAAAATAATCATACAAACAACTTTTGCCTTGGAGGTATGGTCAAATTCGTAACCAAACTCGAGTTAAAAATCAAAAAACAAAAAAAAAAGTTTTTTTTTTTGTTTTTTTTTTAATACGTTCGGGTGGCGTTCGGCCGAACACCCGAACATGTTCGGTGTGCTACACAGATAGGACCTTTATTCGAATGAAAGATAACAATAATGATAACAATAATGAAAAACATGTCATCAATGCCATGGGTGCGACGCCACGGCGGTAATCACCTTGCAGACAGCCAACCACCGTGCAACTACAAATAACTTGAAATAAGGCAAAAGGACGAACGAGACGAGGGGCCATGGAAACTTACGTTGAATCGTGATGATGGCGCCAAGACCCATCGCCAGTGTCTCGACGGTCAGAAACAAAAAGAAGTCCCGCTTGTTTCTCTGAGCAACAGACAGCAATGATGAGACCGTCGTTAAAAATCATGCATCAACAACACATCGATTAATCCGACAGGCACCCTAATCTTTGCGACGAAAGAAAAGAAGAAAAGACACCTTGAACTCGCCCCGTAGTCATCCCGACTTTTTCCAAGAGCAAGAAAGGAAAAGCAACTCACTCCATAACCACTTCTCTCTGTGATCCATTACAAGAAATAAAATAAACTGTTGAGCTAACTGCACATTCGCTCAGACATTTCTGCACATATTCCTCATCCCTTCTTTTTTTTTTTTCGCTTGCACATATTGAACTTCAAATCATTAACAAAACAAATCCAGACATATTGAACTTTAAATCATTAAAAACGCCCAGACAAATCAACATCTGATCGGTGATTAGAGCCACCTTTTTATCCCCCCCTCTCATGCGGCCCGATCTACAGAAGACATCACCGATCTGAAGGCAGTACCCTTGGTGAGTTTTCAACCCTCATCATGAATGTGCACCAGCTATACAGTCATAATGAGCATGCATTGTGCTCGGGAGAAGATGGAGTGCGTCCTTTCTTTTTTCCTTTTTTTTCCCTTTGTTTTTTCTTTATTTCGGGGACCATTTCTCGACTAACGAGTGTCATCCTTGCGCAGGGGCCATGCTAATCAATCTTCTCTGTATCATTCCAATTTTAACAGATGTCCCGTTCCGGAGAAGACGAAGTACGTCCTATTTAGCAGTGGGACCAGCTTTCACGACTGGCTTCTGGAATGGGATTATTATACTCAGGTCCTGGTACCGGGCCTGTGCTTCACTTTCTCCTCCTCGATAGTACGCACCAGCTTCATGACTGTATTTAGACTTGAACGAGTCTTCTTGTTAAATACTAGAAGTACACATAGGAGTTGATAAAATTAAATCAGGTTTTTCCTCTTTATTTTCCCTAGTTGCCCCTGCCCCGTTGTCATCCAGGTGCCCTCTGCACGTAGCTGACTTCCTCCTCCTCCTCGCGCGGAGCTCCAATCGCGCTCCCCGTCGTGGAGCTGCCACGTCGTCGTTTGTCTGTATAATATATACCTTCATGATGATTGGGCGTATACATGATTAGAGGGAAGAACTGCACCTTCCGAAGCAAACCTCAGACATGCCCAAATAGTCGCGAAAACATGGCGCTCAATTCCAAAAACTCAGTTATCCGTACTGGTGCGCACTCTCACGCACAGAAGCAAAGCCGAAGCAAATACAGAAGTTCATGTGCTTCTGCTCCCAAGTTGCACCTACCACTCTAGAGTCTAAACCCAAGGATATAATGGGGAGTTCATGTTCATCACTCAGCCCAATGTGCCTTTTCCTCCTCCTGTCCTTGCGATCACAATAAAAAAAAATAACATTAATTATTATTATTATTATAATATTAGTAATTTACTAATTTATTACTATTATTATCGAGCAAACAGTTGACTACACTCTTCCTGTAGGGCGTCAACACCCTGAATGTACGGACACGAGTCCCTGTCTGGAGAATCGATCGAAGTTACATTTCCTCTGGAACTAATAAGACATTCCAGGCAGCCAAATAGCAAACGCGGAAAAGTCAAGAAAACTGGGAGGAGATGCAAACCACACAGATGCTAAACAGGCAAGGACAAAGTATCTTCCTATGATGTGTTGATACAACGAGGAAGCAAAATAATGGGCTAGCATATTAGGCATGCCAAGAATGACAAGAGGGGAATAAAAAGCTAGGATGAGAGAGAGAGAGAGAGAGAGAGAGAGAGAGAGAGAGAGAGAGAGAGAGAGAGAGA